CTGTGGAAAAAGTTGGTGAAAGTGGAAGGCATGTTTACCACAGCATGGAAAAAACTGACAAGGAAATGTAAATGAAAGCATTTGTTTTACATTGTTCAATATATTTCAATAGATTATGCAATGTACTGTAATAATATACAGAATCTGAAAAGAAATTTCTTATTATTCTAGTATTCCAATGTTTTTTTTCTTTATGATTCCAAGAGGATATGAACTACTGTCTCTTCTAAACTTCCTGAAAATTGAGCCAAGCAAATAGAAATGTGTTGACACTATAGAACTTACTCCAGAAAAATAAAATAATTCCACTTAACAGCCCTCCAAGTCAGGAAAGCACTTAAGCACAGATATGACTTTATTTGCTATAACCTGAAAGTTAATCAATCACTCAAGCACTCTTATGCTCTTGCCAGAATCCTTAACACTTTCCCCTGGCCATGTACAAGGTTTAGAGGCTCCATTATGTAGCTAGGTACAGATTTGCATCTGTCTGAGCTACGGGATTGAGGGAACATGGAAGTGTGCTTGGGGACCCCAGAGCCAATATTCAGGTGTGTGTTTGTGGCAGATGGGGAGAAAGATGAACAAGGAAGAGGGCTAACCAGCATGCAGTAGCCTGTTTGCAGCCAATACTGTCCTGGTGTGGTGAGGGAAAAAGTGATGCAGAATAACCTGCCTGGGCAGCATCAGCATTTTCAGCTTCATTCCGCCCCTTGCAGCAGCACAGCATCCCCCTTCAGGCACTAAGCTCCAGGGGATACACTGTGAAGCTCAGCTTTTTAACTATTTTCCACGGTGCAGGAGCAGCAGCTGCCACAGCCACAGAAATGGCTGGCACCAGGACCTGGCAGTCCTGCTGATAGCATCTCAGAGGGTTCTTCCCTCTGGACTCATTTCAGCTGGGCTGCATGGTCTGAAAACCCATCAGCACCAGGACCTGGGATGCTCACTTCGTGAAATCCTGAAAGAAACAGGTCATGTGCTTGAAGATTGCTCTGTCATAAGAAGAATTGCATGGGTGGCTGTAGGCAGGAGCCTGGCTTAAAAAACACATTCCTGATAAAATAAAAACACTAAAATAGAAGTATCTCTAGTTCCTTAGAGAAACAAAGAGAGACACAAACATGTGCATCTGCAGAGATCTTAAACTATATTCCCACCTTGTGTTTCCCTTTTGAAGCGCCTGAAGTGCAACCTCAGGCATCTGAGACAGGTACTTAAATTTTGGGAACTTGAGTGAGTCTTTCATGCTTCCATCATACTGAACCAATCAGAGATGTGAGTAAAGCTCAGACTAATAATTGCCTGAGACACAACTTTTTAAAATCAGCTTTAACTTTTTTCAGACCTTAGATTTTTTTCAGAGACTAAAGCACCGCATAAAGAAATAGAAAGTGAAATGCAAGTGCTTTCAATGTTAATAAAATTTCCAAAAGCTTTCTTGTAATTGCCAAGAAAGAATGAAAGGTGATCTGAATTTCTATGGGCAACAGTTGTACATTCTCAAGACCTCAAGCCTTTTTTAACATTTTGTCTGATACAAGAAACTTAAGGCATTGAATAAACCAAATCATATTTGAAGTAACAGGCTGCGGTGTTGACAACCACACATGTTTAACCATGCACTTTGAGGTGTTCTGGTAAGTCTCTGCATTTAAAATAAATAAATAAAATTTTGTGGAATCAAGAACTAATTTAGAGAACAAGATTTTTCATGATTCTTTTCTCAAAGCATATTGATATTTTATATTATTGGTTTGAATTCTTAAGAATTCTAGTTTGAATAGACAAAACCATAAATGACTGGTTTAAAAAAATAGCCTACTTACAACTAGCTCTTCTCCACAAAGTTCTTGATGCACTTAATTAATATAATAAAATGGCCAACAGCCAAAAAATACTCTGATTTTGATTTCAAAGGTGCCTTTGTGCTACTGGAATGCAAAGCTCTTTTGAAAATCTGTTATTTTAAAAAAAAATATGTATAAAATGAAACATACTCATTTACTGATGAAATCAAGAATAAATGTATTCATATTGGTAACACTTCCATAATAAAACTATGCTAACATTATAACCTAGCATATGATTAGCTCTGTGAAGATCACATAATCCAAAATTCCCATCAAAAAGCAAACCAAATCAACCCAAATATATTTACTTTTACTTAAGAGTAATTTTTGGTATACTATATAACATCACTTCAATAGGCACAGTACTAAAAAGAATTTTCTTTATTAAATGTACTTGAAAATATCATGACATAAAGAGAACAAATTACATATTATTCTATGGACTGGTTTTTTTACTCCTGTTAAAATATTTGCCTTCACTTGCATACAGATTTTTAGCAAAAGCTGATGGCTCATTATAGTTCTGTTTTTTCATTGTTGATGGGCTGTGTTGACTTAAAAAGCACTTGTACTCATTATATGTTATGTGTGAAATGACAGGCTGCAACATGAAGGCTGAGTTTTGACATATGCATATGGAGTTCACTATGCTTTAAATGTAGGTATTTAAAAGCAAAATGTAGCCATTTAATATGTTTGTAAATTTTATCTTGGTATTTTAAAACTTGTTATAATGCAGAATTTAAAATTTTGCCTCTTTGGTTCAAGACTGAATTTCGGACCAAGTTGTTCCACAAGGGCAAGGTTGGATGCAGTTACCTCTCAGTATTCTGTGAGGTCACTGAACAAATGCCTGCTGTATTTACAAATCAACACTGACCTGCAGTCAAAGCTATGACATCTTATATTCTTTCAATAACACTTTTTGTCTTGAAATCAAAAGTATTGATGAAGCCCCACCAGTTTGCCTCCTTAGAAAAACAACAATAAAAAAACCAAAACAATTTACAGGCTAATGTGTTTCTCAAATTATCTGTATTTAATGAGCAATTTCAAAAGCCTCAGTGATGAATGCACAGATGTTCTACAAACAGAATTCTTGACAGAGATCTTCCAAATACCCAGGCAGAGTCCCAGAATTTCATGTCATTCATTCATTCATTCCAATCTGAATTTTTGTTTAAATTCTTTGTGGGGGGTTTTCATGTAATGGAATTCCTTCACCTACAGAAATTTGCAATGACATACTTTGTGCTGGTCTGGGTAAATGTTATGCCACATATGTCTCTTAAGCACCCCTCAGATTCAGTGATGCAACTGCACATCTCATGAACAGCTGAAGGAAAAACATCCAACCGGTACTGTCAATGCTCTGACAAAATTTGTGTTTCCAGCATATGCTTTCTAGACAAGGGCAGTGCCTGAGTCACCATTGTTAAACCTCTTAAACTGTTATAGCTTTAGATTCAAAATATCTGGTGTTTGTGTCCCAGACTTGAGATCCTATGGACAGCCATGGTAGTTTTATCTCTGGTTCAGATGTGACTCCCTTATTTAGGGACAATTCTTATAAAAAAAAGTTCATGATATGTATATGAAAATGCTGGGTTTTGATGCCACTTAGACTATTTAATTGCTGGATTGGTACATCATTCCACTGAATTTAGGATGGAAAATAAATGTGTAGCCCTTGGAGGTGTACTATTAGGAAGTATGTGTGTACCAGAAGACATTTGAAAGCGATAAAAAAGTTCCCCTTCCCCAAATATTTTTAGATTATTTGGAACTAGTATAAAATTAGATCAGCTATGCTTCAAAACAATGTTACTCTCACACATGTAAATCCAAATATTTCTAATGCAAAGCAAAAAAAAAAGACAGACATGATTTGCTTCTACATTTCAGTCATCTTTTGTCCCTGCCTTGCATTTTGAATTGTTCCCGTTGGGATGAGCTCTCCTCTGGCTTCACTTTTGAAGTATTAGTCATCTTAACTCATAGAAAAGGATGTGATAGAATTAGTCTTTCTGCTAAACAAGGAAGATAGTGGCCCTGTCTCCTAAGTTCTACTAACAACTTTAAGTGGATGGGAAAAAAAAAGGTAGTTTTGATTTCAATACAATAAATAGAAACCCCAAAATCTACTATAGAAAATGAATACCTTTTTACCATCATCTTCACTGGTGTATGTCTAAGCGCAAAATTAAATTATATTGCAAAATTGCAATTAAACAAAGTTATTCATTTTAAATTTAAAAGTCCTTTATATTTCATCATTAAATGATACTCTGAAACTAGTACTTGATCCAGAGCAATGTAATGGTCTTAAAAAACAAAGAAATTATGCATTATATGTATATATGTATAATGTATTCTTCAGAGCTTATTCAAGTGATTCCTGTCTTTTACTATCAATATATATATATAACTTATTAAGAAGTCAAAGGGTAAAATAATTTTTCAAGCATAATGTAAAATGTCAATTTGTTGAGAGTTTAAATGGAACACAAGTTCTACCTATGATGTGAAATCATGGTTAACCATGGAAACAATGTGTTAGGTGGGTTGTCTGAAACAATTTCAAAATCTTGTGGACAAAGACTATTAGATTCACAGTATTTAATTCTTAACCAAAATAAAAAAAAAGAGGGAATAAATAGATGACACACTATTTTTTGTACTTGCACTTAATTTAAAATCAAAATTAAATTCATATGCCATTATTTTTACTTGAAGAAGAGTGACTTATCCATGAAAAAGTGTTTTTTCTTTTTGTGGCTTGTTTGTTTTGTTTTGTTTTCAAGCTATCAGACCAGTATGGCTATATGTTTGCTGTTGTTACTGTTAGGTGAAGAGAAAAAAATGGAAAAAGTAGCATGACTCAATGTACAAACACAAATATGGATTTACAACAGTGCTTAAAGTGCTTTCTTATTTGAGGAGGTACTTACACAAATGTCTTTTCATGCTTATCTCCTTTGTCACCATGTACTATATGCTTGCTCTCATTTATAATATAATGATAGGGCATTATGTTCATACTCAGCGTTTAGTATATTGTCATAAAAACATCTGAAAAGAGGAAAATGACAATTCTATTTGTGTATTATTACAGCAATTTGAAAATTTTATTAAATACTCAAGTGCTTCGTTTCGCCATTTATTCCTTTGCTTCCAATGTTTGCTTAAAGCACTATGTAAGTACAAATAGATAATACTAAAAGCATATCCATCCTATTCTGGGGTTTAGACTAGGATTATTTACTGATGTCTTGCAGAACCGAGATGAAATTAGGATCCCACGTGACCATTTATCTGCTGATGCTGCAAGATGTCTTGCCTCCAGGATTGGTTTCCACATACATGGTTCACCAAAGGTCTAAATCTTATGAATATTTATACATTTTTATGTCTTGTTAAGTGGCAGTGCTGTCATGGGGGATGTCAAGTAGTATACTTTAATTTGCTAGTACCAGAAGTTGTGGGAGCAGCAGAAGCTGTGGCTTGGCTGCCTACATACAAAGGGTCCAAACAAGCCACTTTGGCTGCAAAGAACGAGTGAATACAGTGAAGGACTGCAAACAGGTTAGAAAACTCCAGCTCCTGGAAGTGAAAAAAAAAAAGAAAAAAAAAAAAAAGATTAAACATGAAACAGAAGAACACCCCACAAACATATAACCAGGAATGAACCACTATTGCAGCAGCAACAATTTTAATAGCTTGATGTAATTCTGCTAATGCACCTTACAATTCTCCATTATAGCGACCTAGACATTGACAATGGAACATTCTGTAAAAAAATTGCTTGGAGGCTAAGATGGACAAATTTCTGGATTAAGTTCCTCCATAGAAATATGAGATCCTACTAGCTAAAGGGGAAAGAAAGTGACACTATATTATTTTTATTTTGCCTCAGGTCAATATAAATCTGGCACTTTTGCAGGTTAATTTAGATAGAAACTTTATGGCTGCACTGCAACAGTCTGCACACCTCTGGACTACTACCATTTAACCAATGTACCCATGAAAATTAATAATGGTGAGGTCCACATTCATTACATTTGTTCATCACACCTCCTCACACTATTAATCAGCTAATAAATCACACTATTAAACAGCTATTTCCTTACGTGATTCTTTAAAATATATATTAAAAAAAAGAGGATGTATTTTCAAAATGTGCTACTATCACATAGTGGTAATTGAGATCTGTTATTGGGTCAAAAAAAGGAATATATTCTATGTTTTAAATTTATTAGGAATATTATACAAATTCCTTTTTCTTCTGCTTTAATTTACATTTCTTTATAGCCCCCTCAGCATGTTAGACTTTGTTAGACACCACTACAGAGGAAACAAATAAAAACTAAATTTTTTTACATATATAAATGGACTCCTTTATGTCTAACTGACTTTATCTAATCAATTTTTTTTTACCTTATCTTCAGTATGTGTTTCTGAAGCTGGTATTTAATCAATAAATATCTACTGTACTTGAAAACAATTATTGAGGTACTTCAATACATATAAAAGTAGTACAGAGTTTACATCTTTCTGCTTTGATTCACTTCCCATACAGATTTTTTCACTGCAATGTGAAACCAATAATTGATATCTGTGGTATATTCTACTTGTCTTACTCTCTAGTATTGATATGTCCAAGCTATGTAGTGCCAGGTTTTTGTTCTTTATCTGTTCTAGGAGAATATTGAAAAATGTTGTAAATTCTACAAAACCTCCTAAACCTCTCAAAATGACATCAAACAGCAATTTTCTGCCTCTTGAGATTTCCTGGAAGACATTGCTTTGTGGAATACATGCAGACATTCACAAATCCCTCATGGGTGAGGGACACAGTGTGAAAGCCCATGAGGTTCTTTAAACTCCCCTCATGACCAATTCTCAATAAAGAAGATAAATTTTATGCCAAATTTCACAAACCTGCCAGCTATGTCTATGTAAGAAAAAAAAAATAAAAAAAATCCACTGACAGACATTTTCAGTTTTAAACCCAGAGAGAAGGGCAATTTTATCACTATGTCAAAGTGGATTTTTTTCCTCCCTCCAATTTCAAAATAAGAAAATGTATTATAAATAAGAAAACAATGAGCATTCAAAGATGAGGAAACAAAGATTTATGGAAGCTATTTCAGAATAACAACTATGAGTTGCAACTAAGCTACTTAATGAAGTTAACTTCATTTCATTAATATATTTATTTACCCTTTTAGTACTACAAAAGAACAGCTGAAGCCTAAGATAAGGGAATAAATATTTAGTGGAACCATGAAATATTCTAGAGTGACTATATTTTCCCCTATGTCTCAACAAGATAACCATATTAAAACAAATATTACAGTTTGAGAATTGTTCAAGTCAATTAGCTAACACTACAAGCTGAACATTGTTACTATCATAATTACAGCTACGGGACAGTGAATTTTTACAGTGCATGAGTGTAATTATTACCATGAGTTATCACAGGTGTTTCTGCAATAGTAACACATCAGGAATATTCTCTGCTCAATTTACCATCAAGGGAAATGGGTGAGGCAACAGAACAGTCTCTGAAGGTCCCATTTGATAACTATTATCAATAGTAATGACAACATGAAAACTACCTTGATTGCAAAAAAGAGCACTAATAGGTCAGCAAATGCTGATAAATGGGATATTAGCTGCAATGAAACACTATTCCTATTTCAAGGAATGTGCTCATATGAGGACATGCGTTTTTAACTGGAAACGAAAGCAATGTGAAGCACAGTAGGCTGACTGGTATGCCTGATTAAAGGCTGCAACTCAGTTCCCAGAAGCCTGATTGATGGGAACAGGATCTATCAGGAACAACACTTTTCAGGCAGGTTAGCATAAACACAAGAAATCTTAACAAACATATATGACTCCATGTAGAGCTGCTGACAGACAGAACATGCCATCACTTCTGCTGGGAACTTGCACTTTCAGGTGCCTCCGGGTTGGCACTACTTCCAGGGGTGCCCACAGGCTCTTGTGCACCCTCAGCCACCCTGGTTGTTTCACTACACACTTTGTCCTCAGCCACACTTTTGTCTGAAGACACTTTCCTCTAGGCAGGGTAGTGTGTATTGCACACAGTCCAGATGAAGTTTCAAATGGACAAACAGACCAACCCTAAGACACCTGAAAAAATATGCAGTTAAGCCATTGAAGATGATACCAGTAGGGAAAGTCACATGCTCTGAATCCTCCAAAAAGCAAAGAAATACTAATTTAAGCCACACCTACTTGCCCATGCACAAATACACAATTTACTATTATTACAATTTCCAGACTGCTGCCTGTACACCTCAGCTAAGACCCTACTCTCCCAGGAATATCAATGTACCCTCTGGTCTTCAGATTGTCTTTCTAAGCTATCTCTTGACTAAACTTCTCTCACCCTACATTGCTGTCATTATACCAGACACTTCTAGATTATTAACCTGAACATATGCAGTTCCTGCTGAGGACAACGTAAATGGGCAAAAAGGCATGTGAGAAAGATGCAGCCATTGAGAAGGTCAGAAGCACACTGGAATTCTAGTAACCTTTCACAAAGGAAGTCTGGGTTGAAAAGACAGAGAAGGAAAGAGAAAACAGTTTTCCAAAAAAAAAAAACCAAAAAAACCACAACAAAAAAAAACAAACCCCAAAAATCTCTTATTCCATTGTATTATACATATATTATGTAATATGAAACAACTACATAAATTATACATTTACAAAATCCAGCAATTGTATGTTTTAAAATACCCATGGTATATTTTAAAAAGTCTTCTCTTTCATCCATATATAAACCGCTGATATGAGAAGATATTTGTTCATCAAAAGCGGAGTTACATGGTCTCTCTATACTTGCATAGAATCTGATCTAAAATATATATTTAGACAAATAATTCGTATGCAAGACATGGGGAAACTATAAACTGAACCACACCAACCAACACAAGTCAGAAACCTGAACTCAACAATTCAGTAGCTGCAACTGAGCAATCATTCTATAAAAATCTTAAGGATGTATACTTATAACCCATTTAAAGATGATATTCTAAATGTGAAGAGCACTGTGATGCTCAAAGAAAAACCCTCAAGGCTAAGAGCAAGAATTAATTTAAAATTGCATTTTGGAGAACAGACTTGAGCAGAAATGTCAGTCTGGAAAATGATGCAAGCACCCATCAAGTCACCTTGAAACAGTAGAAAGTGGGTGTTTTGTTCATAGTAATGTGATCCGTAGTCATTCAGGATATTTAGATTAGATGTTATACAAGATAATTTCAAGCAAAATTAATTGGAATTAATTAATACTAAGGTAATTAATTAATAATGAGATTAATGTGAAATCCTTGAAGTTTAACTTCTTCCTTTGCTGATACTACATCTGTGCCTTCTTTGATTTTCCACATGCAAATAGATGAAGACAATTGATGACCTTCATCTTGATAAACTTCTTTTTGCACCCACTTCAGTTTTGTACTGCTCAGTTTAGGAGTTCAGCCAATCTGTGAACAAAAGTTCACCTGATGCAGCACAGCAGTGTGGCCTTGCCTGAGTTTTCTGAGACAACTGTTATTCTGCAAGCTGGGGGAGGTGAAAGCACAGACTGAAGTGTAGCTTTTGAGTCATACATGTTTTACCAAGGACAGAGATCCTCGGTTTCCAGTTTGGTGAAAATTCAGTAATGTAATAAGATGATGATTTTTATACATATCACTTACTCCTATGTTTGGAGGCATATGTTTATACCTTGAAACTGGAACTCTTGAAGATTTAAGGTACTCTTCTTATTTGCCAGAAAAATCTAATACTTAGGTGAAATTGAAGATCACAGCACTCTGAGTTTATTACAGTCCCCAGACTGTGCATCACCTCTGGAAGCTGCTGTGATACTATTGAGACACTCATTAATCTACAACTAAACAAACAGGTGAACAGAAAAGTAACTAGATAGGAAGGTCTAAGTGAATCTCTTTTGGGCCTTACATATGCAGAGAAAGCTTTGCCCTTCTGTGCTTAGTTTCTTTTTTACCCAAGCCAAACAGCTCGGTAAGAACAAATACAGGGACACATTGGCTACACATTCTGTCAAACTCACAGGTCTATTTTTTAGCTCTCACTCGTAAAAGAAATTTGTCTCTCTAAGCAAACTTGTGCAATATCTCCTGCTGAGTGACAACTGGGAAATAACCTACAGATTGGAATGTCTAAGGGGGTATCAGTGATTAATGTTGCCCTTAAGTGGTTCTCTTGTCAGAAACCACTTAGACCTTGCCAAAGATACCTTTTAAGTTAGGTGTTTGCTTTAAGGCACCCTGCCATAGACCCACTGGTGCAACCTATGGAAATTATTATTCAGATTTTTAGACTGGAACTATAAGGAATAAATCCATAAGGAAACACTTCCTCTATTCTATAGTATATATCTTTATAGTAACATGATTTAACTTAGAGAAGCCAAACAAAAGCATGAGCACAATGTCTCTACAGAAAAAAAAAGACAGTATTTGAAATTTATAAATACCTAAAATTATTTTAAAGCTGAAAAGAACTATACTGGGAAATAAGTTAAACAGTAATTAAATCCATAGCACATGCTGTATGTCTCAAAGCATGCCATATTGAATTTTTTAAGTCAGGCATGAAGTACACTATCAAAAATTTTGACAATATTATAAAAATATTAGTTTTTCAATGTCAGTGAAGGACTTTCTTTCTCATAGGAATATAAATGCTGGTGGAAAGTGTTTTTATCAAAAACACAACAAAAAACCCAAACCAAAACAAAAACCAACAACAAACCTAACTGATGAATGTATGTAGTACTGGACTTTATCCCAAAACGTATTTTCCTTAGATTTTTCAAACATTAACACTGATATCTCTGCATATGCCACCAGAATACAGAGGAGATTCTGGACAATTATGAAGATGGTATGGATAAAATTTATACTGCATATGCATACCCAAGCAATGTATATCTACAAGTTGGAATGCATTTCTAGAATAATAACAAATTAATTTTTTGATCAAAACTCAATAGCTGAGCATTTTGATAGTCTTGATTCAGCAGAGCATGAATAAGTGTTCTAAAGGTAAAGGGTATTATCACATAGGTTCAACATGCCATATCACACATATCTGGGAAAGCATGAGGTACACAAAATGTTCTGCATTATAAATGAAGGAAGACAGGAAGAATTTGGATTTTGGTAACTCAAATTTTTCTGTGAAGCTATTATACAGAATCATAGAATCATTTAGGTTAGAAAGGACATTTATTGAGTCCAGTGGTTAATCCAGCACTGCCAAATCCACTACTAAACCAGTTCCCAAGTGCCACATCTCCATATCTACACCATCCCACTTAGGATGGTGATTCTGCCACTTCCCTGAGCAGCCTGTTCCCATGATTGACAGCCCTCCTGGAGAAGATATTTTTCCTAGTATCCAACCTATATCTCCCCTGGTGCAAATTGAGGCCATTTCATCTTGCCTGATTGCTTGTTACTTATGAGAACAGACTGACCCCACCTGGCTACTATCTCCTTTCAGGCAGTTGTAGAGAGCAACGAGATTCCTCCTGAACCTCCTTTTCTCCAGGCTGAACAACCCCAGCTCCATCAGTTGCTCCTTATCAGACTTGTGTTTCAGACCGTTCACCAGCTCTATTGCTCTTTTCTGGACTTGCTCCACCACCTTAATGTCTTTCTTTTAGTGAGTGGCCCAAAACTGAACACAGTTTGTGGTGTCTGGAAAGTTACCTGTTACGCCCTGCTTCCACATTGCTGCTTGGGAATTAGGGAAGAGCCCTAATACATGGGTGCAATGGCTCCTCAAATTTATTTTTTTTTTTCACTGCTGAGTCCTCCTTTCACTACATTCTGATTATTCCCCATGTATTATAACTCAAGAAAGAAATAATAGAATCATAAAGAAAATGTTACAGCAGTGGGTCTCCAGGCCAGCTGCAAAACAGAGCTGCATCTAACAGGTGATGATAGTTGTGGCATGAATATTCATTGCAGCCTTTAACAGATGTTTTACAAAATTTCCATCCTCTGATTTCAAATGAAGTCTGCATACAGTATTCATGAAATCTGGCATTCAAAATATTTCTGAAAATCTGATTAACATTTCCTAATGACTCAACAGTTCTGCAAATAGCTATACCTCTAACCTAGGAAAGTAAAGCAAAAAAACAGAGGCTAGATTGTTCCACCTCTCCTTATGATGAATAGTGTTTTAGATCTATGAAAGGTTTAAAGGATACAGAAGGGGGTTATCCACAAAGTTGTAAGCCAAACAGTGTTGAAAATATATGACCTGAGAACCTTCACATTTATTTTACAGACACATTTATCTACATTTCTTAGACTAAGCAACATACTTAATATGTAAACAAATCAGAATGGATAGTAGTGCTCATTATAAATGCCACAGCACCTTCCAAAGAGAATATAACCTGACATCTTTGCATTTAGTTTATGTGCATTGATCACCATGAAAATGAATTAAAATTAACAGATTTTTATTTCCAAGTTGAGTAATGTGAAATTTTAAATTTATAGAAAAGAGCAGCAACCAGGGAATATGACGGCATATTAATAAGCATGATAAAAGTTTGTAGAATATTCTGGCTTCATAAAGTGTAAGGTAGCATTTCTATCTTAATAAAAGTTTGGCACAATTTTCTAGAACTCAATTTGAGTGGAAATAGCAATAGGTACAATAAAGGCACCAGGATACCACTAAGGCTTATATATGTCCAACATACTTATGTATCTCTAAGTGATTTATATGACAGATATACTTCAAAACATTTTAAATTTTAATTTAATTTAAAATTTAATTTAATTTATTATACTTTAAAACAATTTTTTAAAAAAACAACATTTTTTTTTCAAAATCTATATTTTATTATTTGGTTTTATTTTTTTCATGTAATTCAGTATGAAAAATATATTCTCATTTTACCAGATAAAAAAACAAATAAAAAAAAATAGAATAAAAGCCTGCTAAATTTCCAAAGACCCCAACAGTGTGCCATTCCTGGAATCCTATTTATTTTTGTTAGTGCTAAAATCATGTGTAAATATGACAGCAATAGCAGACAGATGTTAGAAAAATAATGATGACTTTAATCCTTCATCTGTACATAAGTATAGAATAAAAGTTTTCAATTACTTTCTTAAGAGAAAATGATCCTCATGACATTAGGTTAACTGTATTGTCTTATTAGAGCTGAAACAAAACTTCTGTACTACTAAAAATAACTCTGAAGGAAATCAGAAATAAGAAAATATTTATCTTTGAGGTGCAGCAGAGGTATCAAAACCATGGTGTCCACATTTTATTGCTGTTGATTTAATGGGAACTCTTACATACCTTTATTTTAGTGAGTAAAAACACTCAAAATCAAGTAAATAGCTGCTGGGTAGAAAATAATTAACATCAACCATAAAGAGTCATGGAGGAAGAAGCAGAATGTAACTATGGGCATTTAAACACATAACTATCCCCAAAACAATGCATTTTTTTCTTTACATATTCTATAATGCTCTACATATTTAGTACTTATAGACAATTTATTTAACCATTTCCTTTTTTCTCATGGAACAATTTTGTTCTGACATTCATTCATCAGTCTGGTCTCTGACATGGTCAGGAAAAACAGTATAGTAAATGCCTTAAAAGCAAAGCTTAGACATCAACAAGAAAATAATTTTTATCTTTACAGTAAAATTTGGATTCTAGTCAAAAAAGAACTTTGAGCCAGACTCTCAGGCAGTTCCAACCATCACAGACATGGGGAGATCACTTTTCATGCTGCGACAGTAAATGCCCTTATTCTCTAAAGACATAAATAGAAATAATCTTAAATCTCTCATGGCTACTGTTTTCATTAATTAACTCTAGAATCAAAAGCACAACTGGAAATAGAACTTGTCTGATTTTGCATTAGACACAGACAGTAAGCTTCTGTCTTGTTGCAAGCTATGTATTTAATGCACAAGGGTTTTTTTTCCCTGAGAAATAAAAACAGATTTTCAACCTTTGCTGAGTTTTTCTCCCAGGTTGATTTAAGGATATACTTTCCACCATTTCTTCATGATACAATTATAGGGTGAAAAACAGGGTACTCAACCTCTCAGCTTTATCACAATGACAAGGAGAAGAGTTGGAAAACATGCCTAAACCCATATATCCCATAAATCCTGTATTTTATTATTTTTAGATCTAATTACAACTTTCAAGAGATTTTTAACTAGATAAAAATAATTTGTTCAGTTTTCTTCAAGTTCATTGTTTTCCTTTACATTCCTTGTGAATCATTCTAATATTTCCAAGTAACTTAGTCTATTACACTCCTCCACTCCCCTAGCTGCTTTGAAAATTGTATATTGCCTTTATACAAACAATATATTGCTTTTACCTTTGCTTCGATTTGTTTAGTATCTTGGTTTTGGAACAAAAATTTGATTTTGCTCTTCCCATCATCTGAAGAACCTTTGAGCTGAGAAAACTTGTACCTCCAAAGCACAGCCTAAAGGGAAAAAAAACCAAACAAACCAAAATATAAAAAATCACACACAAGCAAGTCAATGTAGTTGCCATTGAAAATTGTATTAGAAATACCTGGAAATACAAATACCAAGGAAAGATCTTTATGGTACATAACTAAATAAATTTAGTATTCTGTGGTCAGATGTTCCTTTAATCATATAGCTACATTATATTTTGGCAGTGCTTGAATAACACCTGTCAGAGTACATTTGTGAAATTTACCCTGAAATTCCTTTATCTATTTTTAATACCAATTAAACAAAAAAGAAAAGGATTTTTTTTCCACTGATCATCTGTGGATTCCCTGCTCTATCTGAAGTACTGATCTGACATACAAGCGCCTTCTTTCCATACTAAAAAATATCTAGAATTAACATAAAGGGCATATTATACTAAAATATAAAAATTATATTTAAAAAAATAGACATACTAAAATGTCTATTTTTAAAGGATAAAATAACAAAAGAAAGCAGTTTAATGAGAACATATTTTGAGTTTATTTATGAGAGCTCTAGTTAGGAATTTGAGCAAATAATTCTAACCATATCAGTGGTCTTTCAAGTAATTATGAATTACTTGAATTAATATGTTGAAAAAGACATAATATTTGACAAAAAAAATATGCAATTAATAAAATTTACAGCTGTCTAGAAAAGCATCTCTTTAAAAGTATATCTAGTGTGGATCTATGTAGAAAAAAACAATTTTAAACTATTTTGTTTAGAAATGGAAAAGAACTATTTTTGTTGTCTTTTCAACCTCATTTAAAGATAACCCCCATCCTCCAGATATTTCACATTGTTAAAACTTTTCATTGTGATTCCAACAGTATTTCACATAATTAGGTCATCATCATTTACATTGTTGCACTACTTTTATGAACACTAATTTCACAGGCATCAGACAACACAGAAACTTAAGGGTTTGTAAATTGCTTCCTCTCAGTGGTGTAGGATGACACTTCCATCTGTGCCCCTAGTCTTTATCTATGAATGATTTACTATCTACTGGGAATTAAACAGAATATGGGGGAGGTCAAATTTTTAGCTGTCCTAAATCTATGCAGGCCCCTCTGCTTCAGGATGTGTTGGTCCCTTCATGTCAATGACTGGCAAAAATCTCTACCCTGCACCAAGCTGGATAAAGTTTGTTGTGTTTGTCTTAGCAACCTGACAAGAAAAGAAACCTCAGTGACAGCATTTTAACTGTGCACTATACATAAAACAAGTGCTAGAATTTTTCTCCCAAATTTTCTCTTATATATAGTTGTTCCTTCCAGATAGATAAAAAAAAGAACCCTAGTCTCAGCACCACTTTCATTCTCTGGGTGTATGTGACAGGTGAGTTCCCATTTGCCATAACAGAGTTAAGGACATTCAGTTTCACATAAATTAGAGGAGTTTGGCAGTTTATGTGAAAATGAATCCTATTTGTTTCAAATGTTGTCCTCCTGAGCCCACCAATCTGTGATACAGAAAATAGAATAGATTCCCTCATTCCTATGTGTGTGAAATTCCTTTGACATTGTTCAAAGATGTTTATTTATATTGTACAGATAGTGAGGTAAAAACAAAACAAAGCAAAATAATCCAGTATATAACATCATTCAGGTGGCTATATTCCTACATTCTTTGTAAACTCCTTTTTTTTTTTTTTTTTTTACAGATTTACAATTTCAACAAATCTTGTCAGAAGATCAAGACCATTGCCTTTCTGCAGGGACAGCAAATCTACTTAAGCATGTCATTTCCTGGATGAGAAATGTAAAGGGCAGTGATTCTCTCTTTATCTCTGGAGAAAACAATCAAAGCAATGAGCTATCATCTTTCTCTTCTCTGATGATATATAGAGAGGCCAAGAGAGAGATGCAGCATTAACAAGGACCCTTAGATGTGCAGGCAAAATCCCAGGGTACCTGGCCTTATTCCCAGTCAGATTAAGTTTGAATGAAGATGAAGGACGTATTGAACTGAGGTACTTTGACATTTCCATGCAGTTTTGCCATGCACTTCATTTCCATTCAGAGGAAAAAGAATGACAGTCACACCAAACCACAGGCATGACTCAGGAGCACACTTCAATTTATGCATAACATTTGTTTTGGAGACTCCGATTCAGCAAAGGTTCTTACTTAGCACAGCAAAATCAGGTATATAGTGTGGAGAGAACTAATCCCAACAAAACTGCACTTCAACATCAATATATTAAAACAAGCTCCTAGAACTGACAGTCTCTGCAGAGACAATTAAATACTCTTCATCTAAAGTGTAAGGAGTAGAAATGCTATTGACAATGCATGAAATGTTTCCCATATGAAAGAATTATCTGCTCCTTTTGAGTGGTCTTCAACAAATTGCACACACTTTCCCTCAAAGTTGTCCACTTGAGGGAACAGTCATTTGCGAAAATAAGAATAGGGAAATGTGAGCTTGAAGTTACTAAATCAGGAATACAAAGTATTTAAATTTAGTCACCCTGGCTACTTTTTCTAGAGAATCTCTGAATAATAAATCCTACATCCTGGTTTAAAATAGGGAGAACTGGTTCATTGTGGTAGACTGTGGATGTATGTCTACTTCAATATACTATAATTAAATATATATTATTATACATAACAAGTGTAACAGATAGCTTAAACCACTTAAACTAGATGTTCGATTCCTAGATAGAAAAAAGTTGGGTAAATTAGTCAATCATATGCCCAGTAAGACCCATTTAAATCCTTTCTCCTACCAAAGACACTGAAGTGCCGTCCTGTGTAGCCAGAACTGCATAACTTGCATGTGCACATGTAATAAGGGATGCAGAAGGTTGTGACCACAGTCAAATCGCTCTTAAAGTACCTTGTGGAGGTCACTGGATCAATTCCTCTGGCTGCACATGTTCTGAGTGTGGCTCTTCTTTTCATTTTCACTGCTGCAAAATGCATATGCAGTGAACAGGGACCAGACCTATCCTTTTTCAATGACTACTTCATAGTGCCAAAGTAAGAAAGGAGAGACCAGACCCACTCACCTGAGCAGCAGTTTCACACAGATGTGCAACTACAGCAGTGACATTAACACAAGAGAGAGAGAGAGTTTCATGTGTTATCTTTCATCATCCTGTGGGCTGACTTCAGTGTTACAGTGTTCACTTTGGTGACCCTTCCAAATTCTAATTTTAAAAGCTCATTCTCCTGCATTAGGCATAGGTATCCTTGGGAATAGTCATCTACATCATTGTCAGTGTTGTTATTTTTTCATGTTTTTGAATATCAGAATTCCTCAGAATCATTTGTTGAATGATTGCCTCAGAAAGTTAACAAAGACTGTTATAATTTTGTACAAATATATATATATATATACATACTGACTTTAACCAATAAGTACATTTGTAAAACATGGTGGCTTTTTTGGAAATTATCAAACACCTAAATGTGTGTCACATAAAATATTTTTAAATCAGTTTTCAGGAATTATGAAATATAAGCAGAAGTACATACTGGTTTAAAGGTGCAGTGGTACTGAGCTCAACACTCATAGGGCTACTTTTAGCTGACAAAACCAACCTCAGCAATTAATTACTTCCCTCAGTAATTGTGCATAACCTGCATCACTGAGAATATTTTACAGGTCTATATACGCTATCTATAGGAAGCAATAAGTTTTTCTTTGCTCTAAAATAGATTTGACAGGTGGACCAGATGTCAATTCCTTTTAAAGCACAAATTGTATCTGAATTAAAAAAGATTCTCTTGTAGACAGAGGCATCAGCTACTCGTGAGAATCCTGACACGCCTTTCAATGGCACATGGCTTTATGATGCCTTGATGGAAGATGAAGAAAACTCAGTATACACTATTTATTGCCTTGAAAATTCTATCTCATTTAATGAGATAGAATTTAGGAACAATGGTAAGTAGTCCAATTCAGCAAGTGGGGACCAAGGCATACACTGAAAAATACCACCAGTGCCACAATTTGCATACTCCCAGTGTGATCACAGAAAATCTGACATAATTATTCCATGCCTTGAAATATGCACTGTAAGAAGACAAACTCTTTGAACAAATACAGTATGTATCAAAAACAAAATTTAAAACAACCAATAATATATAAATCCTTTTCCCAATTATTATTCATATAGTGCTTAGGCTGCTTTTTTGCATTTTACACAATTTAATAAAATTAACTTCAAAGAATACCAGAATGCAATGCAAACAAATAAACTGCAGACAAGCTGACAAATTAGATTTAAGACTCCTCTTGAGATGCTATTAAATTATTGTAATAACAAATCATCAAAAAGCAAAATCCTGTATTCACTGAAATTAACAGGATTTTTTTTCCTGTGACGTATCTGGGACCAAGATTTTTCACCAATAATTTTTAATGAGAAATATTTTATTTATAAGTAATCATCTAGGACTCATTTGTGCTAGTCTTTGCAAACAAATTACTGCCTATTATCTTCCACTAGTTATCCTGCTATAATTAAAAAGCGACGCTCTCTGCTTGCGTATTTTTATTTTATAGTTGGTACATAAATGCAACATATAAATGACACATGGAAGAAAATATTTTTTTTTTTTTTTACTTTTATACCTCACAAATGAAGAAAATCATATGGTGTCTATTCTTAGCAATAGTGCTAGATCTAGAACACATATATTCTATAAGGCACCTTAGAAAATACTTTCACATTTATATTATATGTCAGGTTGCTATTCATTCCCAGAATCTTGGACTAACCCACACACAATTTTGGTGAGATGACATCAAACAAAAACATCAAACAAAATCACAGACATCAGACATAATAATGACATCAGAAATATGAAAATACATCATAACTATAACTATCTTTGTTTAGGTTGTGACTAGGAACATTCATTAGAGCTTTTGTTTTGTTTTGGGTCAAGGAGTTTGTTTGAATCCTAAATAGAGACTAGATTATCAAACAAACACAGAATAGGTGACTGTATTTTTACTTACCATG